GTCTTGCGTTCTATGAGCGATAATTCATGACTTGAACTATGTGGATGAGTCAAGCATTGGTAATGAGGAGAGTGATGAACCTAGGGGACTCACCTCGCCTTGGAGGAAGGGAGGGAGGAGAGAGGAGAGGTGAGAGAGAGAGGGATGGAGAGAAGGAGGAGAAAGAAAGAGAGGGAGAAGGAGAGAAAAGAAAGAGAGAGAGAGATAGAGATAGATAAGAGATAGAGGATATGAGAAGAGATAGAGATAAAGAGAGAGGAGAGAGACGAGACAGACGAGGAGATAATGATCTGGACTCAACAAGGAAGTGGCCTGAGATTTTTGAAAAAACATGCCACATCTTTCCGCCTGTTCTATCCTCTGTCTCGAAGAGTAAAGAATCTGCAACCTACCATATGGGGCCCGATCATCAGTGCACTTTAAAAGCACAATTCAGAAAAGACGAGAGGGATTAGAGGGAAGAGAGATCGGAGAATGATGAGAGAAACAGACGAGAGAGAGAAGAAACGAAATTGAGAGATGAGAGAGGAGAGAGGAATGAATAGCTTCTGCCTCTGTTGGGGGGCGAGGAAGGAACGTCCAGAACGAGAGAGGTGGAGAAGGAGAGGAGAGCAGGAGAGCAACAGGTTCGGCAAAAAATACGTAAAAAAAAACAAAACAAAATGCGGCAATCATCTAACCGCGGAAGGACCCCAGGGAGAGCGCCCACCCCCCCGACCCTTCAACGCCGCACCCGAAACAAAACCGACTCCCGAACCCTCTCCCCGACGCCCGACCGAAACGAACACCGCGCGCGTTTCCCGACTCACAAATCGCCGAGAAACACCAGAGGAGAGATGTGTGATTGTGCGTGTGTGTGGTGTGTGCGTGTGGTGGCGTGTGCGTGTGCGGTGCGTGCGTTGTGTGGTGCCGTTGCGTCGTCGTTGCGTGTTGTTGCGTGTGCCGTGTGTGCGTGCGTTGTCCGGACCAGGCTGGGTGCGTCTTGCTCACGCCCGCCCGCGCCCGACGCACCAGGATCTCCGAGAATGCAAATGGCCCCAAAAATAAATAAATAAACGAACAGTCAAAAACAAATACAAACAGGATGATAAAACAATTAACTAAAAAAATAAATCAATAATAGGCTAAAACAAATAAAAAAGATAAAATGAATAAATGAATATAATAATAATAATTAAAACATAGAATACGAAGGAAACAGACATAATGATAAATCTCTATACGAATCCAGCTTGGCATTAACCCGACAAGTCTAGCTATTTTCCTCTTCGCATTAACCCGACGCGTCTAATAGCATTTAATAAGAAAGTGACGAATCTTCTCCTTGGATGAAGCTAATGATATAATCTACTGCTTTCTCCTCATCTCACGTTCTGAAATAATTCTTCGTTCACTGCAACGGAAAACCCAAAAGCAACAAATAAGTCCTTTTGCCATTTAACTGACTCCATCTGCCTTATCTTATCTCTTATCTCTTTCCCAGCGAGCGCCATTCCGGGAGCGCCTTCCGGGGACCCTCCTCCTGCTCGGCGCAAGATTCTCTTCGTGCGGTTGTGCTTTCTTTCGGAAACGGAGTAAAAGGGGGGGGGGGAGAAAGAGAAAATGCACACGTATTTAAATAAAAAACTGTTTTTCCCCCCAAGTGGTGGAGGAATCGTCAACTATTTCTAATGAAAAATATAGAGCAAAAATTGAAAAAGTTATACACAGTTGTACCACCTTCCCCTTCCATCTCCCTCTCTCTATTAATATGGCTTGCCCCTCCCACTTCAGCAACCTATCCTCCCCTCTCCTTCCCTCTCCTCCTCTCCCTCTCCTTCCTCCTCGTCCCTCCCTCCCCTCCTCCCCCTCCTCCCTCTCCTCCCTCTCCTTCCCTCCCCTCTCCTCCCTCTCCTCCCCTCCTTCCTCTCCTCCCCCCTCCCTTCTCCCTCCCTCTCTCCTTCCCTCCTCCCTTCCCTTCCCTCTCCTTCTCCTCCCCTTCCCTCTCCTCCCCCCCTCCCTCCCTCTCCTCCCCTCCTCCTCCCTCCCTCCCTCTCCCTTCCCTCTCCTTCCCCTCCCTCCCTCTCCCTCCCTCCCTCCCTCCTCCCTCCTCCCTCTCCTTCCCTCTCCTCCCTTCCCTCCCTCCCCTCCTCCCTTCTCTTCCCCTCCTCCCTCCCTCCCCCTTCCCCTCTCCCTCTCCTCCCCCTTCCCTCTCCTCCCTCCCCCTCCCTCTCCTTCCCCCCCTCCCTCCCTCCTCTTCCCTCCCCTCCTCCCTCCCTTCCTCCCTCTCCTTCTTGCTCCCCCCTTCCCCTCCCTTTCCTTCCTCCTCCTCCCTCCCCCTTCCCTCCTCTCCTCCCTCCCTCCTCCCTCTCCTCCCTCTCCCTCCCTTCCCCCTCCCCCTCCTCCTTCCTCCCCCTCCCTCCCTCCCTCCCTCCTTCCTCTCCCTTCCGCGTGCATCCGGTTGACATGCAGCCTTTAAATGCTGAAACGCCGTGTTTGTCTCACGTCGTACCCTTGCTCCCCCCCCCCCCCAATGTCTTCCGCTTTTGCTTCGTCACACATTCGCTGAAGGGATCATGCGGTGAGCCCTGGGGACGGCGGGAGGGAGGGAAAGGAGAGGGGGAGAGAAAAAGAGAGGGAGAGGAAGGAGAGAGAGAGGGAGAGAGAAAGAGGGGAGAGAAAAAGAGAGGGAGAGGAGAGGGGGAGAGAAAAAGAGAGAGAGGAGAGGGGGAGAGAGAGGGAGAGAGAGAGAGGAGGGAGAAGAGGGAGAGGGAGAGGGAGAGGGAGAGGAGAGGAGAGAGAGGGAGAGGAGAGGGAGAGAGAGAGAGGAAGAGGGGAGAGAAAAAGAGAGGGAGAGGAGAGAAGGGAGAGAGGGAGAGGAGAGGGGGAGAGAAAAAGAGAGGGAGAGGAGAGGGGGAGAGAAAAAGAGAGGGAAGAGAGGGAGAGAGGGAAGGAGGGAAGGAAGGAGGAAGGAGGGAAGGAGGGGAAGGAGGGAAGGAGAGAAGGAGAGAAGGAGAGAAGGAGAGAAGAGAGAGAGAGAGAGAGAGAGAGAGAGAGAGAGAGAGAGAGAGGAGAGAGAGAGGAGAGAGAGAGAGAGAGAGAGAGAGGAGAGAGAGGAGAGGAGAGAGAGAGGAGGAGAGAGAGAGAGAGAGAGAGAGAGAGAGAGAGAGAGAGAGAGAGAGAGAGAGAGATGGAGGAGAGGGGGGGAGACTGCCGAAAGGCGAGAAATTTCAACAATGAAGCGCAAAAAAGCCATCTGTCCCAGAGAAAGGCATGATGTCCGAGCCGCAAGTTTTATGTTTCATTCCCACTCTTCTTTCCCTTCTTCGCAAATTCTCGCAAATCCTTTTCGTTCTCGCAACCTCCTGTTTCTCCTCTTGTCTCTCCCTTCTCTCTCCTTCCTTCCCTTTCGTTCTCGCAACTCTCGCAACTCTCTCTTCTCTCTCCATCCTTCCCAAACCTCCTGTTTCTCCTCTGTCTCTCCCTTCTCTCTCCATCCTTCCCTTTCGTTCTCGCAACCTCCTGTTTCTCCTCTTGTCTCTCCCTTCTCCCTCCATCCTTCCCATTCGTTCTCGCAACCTCCTGTTTCTCCTCTTGTCTCTCCCTTCTCCCTCCATCCTTCCCTTTCGTTCTCGCAACTCCTGTTTCTCCTCTCTCTCCCTTCTCTCTCCATCCTTCCCATTCGTTCTCGCAACCTCCTGTTTCTCCTCTTGTCTCTCCCTCTCTCTCCATCCTTCCCATTCGTTCTCGCACCTCCTGTTCTCCTCTCTCTCCCTTTCTCTCTCCATCCTTCCCATTCGTTCTCGCAACCTCCTGTTTCTCCTCTTGTCTCTCCCTTCTCTCTCCATCCTTCCCATTCGTTCTCGCAACCTCCTGTTTCTCCTCTCTCTCCCTTCTCCCTCCATCCTTCCCTTTCGTTCTCGCAACCTCCTGTTTCTCCTCTTGTCTCTCCCTTCTCTCTCCATCCTTCCCATTCGTTCTCGCAA